TTTGATCACACGACCGTGAGAACTTTGTGATGGTTGTAAGGGTGAGGACCGGTTGCAGGTCCCCCCCCCTTTTTTTTTAGCCCTGTCCTAACTTCCAACAGTCATTCCACAAACGGTTGTAAGCCGAGGACTGCAAAAATCAAAGCCGCTGCTTTCTAAAACGGAATCTGCTCTGTCACCTTTCCTGTTAATCGTTTGATCGATGTACTTAAAGCTCCCCGAATAGCGATTTCTTGCAAAAATCATTAAATGGCCCTATGAAGGTTTCCTGTTCATTGAACTGCCACATCTCCCTTGGGAGGGTTTTTTTTAAGCTGACAATAAGAAAAACCTGCACATATTTGCGCAATATTGTCTACCAATACTTATAGAGGTCTCTTTGGAGCAATTAACAGTGTGTTGCTTCGTTACTTTAGAAGTCACTTTGGTTGCTGTGGAAATATGTACTTAGATATCGGGCAGATGAGTTGCACGTGTTGCAGTTTTATATTTACACACGCATGGAGATCTGAATCTAAAGTCCTCCGCTTAAGATCGGTTGTCCCCGGGGTTGTTTTTTTCAAGAGGCAACTGGACTTTCTTTGTTTTTTCTTGAAAACGTTTCGCTTCTCATCCAAGAAGCTTCTTCAGCTCTGACTGGATGGTGGGAAAGGGAAGGATTTATACTCCTTTGCAATCATCTGCTCGTTGGCACTCTTTCTGAGAGTCACTGAGGCCACGTGGAGGTTTATCTGTGTCCTCGGATTCAGCTGAATGGTGCAAATGGGTGTGGAGCCTTCTTGGAACTGCTGAAAGGAGCGGGTTGTAAACAGGAGAAATAGGTGGTGTCGTATGCCTCGCCCTCTGTCGAGGGAGGGCTGTTCGATTTTAATATAGATGGCTTCCTTGATCCCTCTTTTAAATCAGCGGTCTTCTCTGTCCAGAACGTGGACTTTGCTCTCTTCAGAAGAGTGACCTTTTGTCTTTCAAATGCAGATGGATTGCTGAATCTTGTCCTGATGGGTTTGTTCTTCTATGTTGTGCCCTGCGTTTGTGAAGTGGTTGCTTTGCTTCTCCAATGTACAGATCTGCACTAGACATTCACCTGTCTGAGACGGTACAGGTTCTCCTGCTTGAGCATGGGGCTGGACTAGAAGACCTCCAAAGTCCTATTCTATTCTATTCTATTCTATTCTATTCTATTCTATTCTATTTTTCTATTCTATTCTATTCTATTCTATTCTATTCTATTCTATTCTATTCTATTCTATTCTATTCTATTCTATTCTATTCTGTATTTCTATTCTATTCTATTCTGTATTTCCATTCCATCCTATCCTATCCTATCCTATCCTATGCTATCTTATCCTATCCTATCCTACTCTTTTCTATTTCTATTCTATTCTATTCTATTCTATTCTATTCTATTCTATTCTATTCTATTCTATTCTGTATTTCCATTCCATCCTATCCTATCCTATCCTATCCTATCCTATCCTATCCTATCCTATCCTATCCTATCCTACTCTATTCTATTTCTATTTCTATTCTACTCTACTCTACTCTACTCTACTCTACTCTACTCTACTCTACTCTACTCTACTCTACTCTACTCTACTCTACTCTATTCTATTCTATTTTTCTATTCTATTTTTCTATTCTATTCTATTCTATTCTATTCTATTCTATTCTATTCTATTCTATTCTATTCTGTATTTCCATTCCATCCTATCCTATCCTATCCTATCCTATCCTATCCTATCCTATCCTATCCTATCCTACTCTATCCTACTCTATTTCTATTTCTATTTCTATTTCTATTTCTATTTCTATTCTATTATTCTATTCACCATGACGGGGATGACTGAGAATCTCCATGGACACTTAAGACCAGTTGTTTCACAACTGTTTGAAGTTACAACAGACTTTTGAAAAGCTACAGTACTTATGACCCATCCTCAAGTTACGACTCCCCACCCCCACAGTCAAGTGTATTTTGGGCACTTGGCAACCGGCTCACATTTATGACCAGTTACGGCATCCTGCGGTCACATGACTGCAATGTGCGCCAGTTGTTTCTGCAAAAAAAATAATAATGTTGGTTCGGAAGAATGGATTCACTTAAGAACTACATGATTCACTTTATGACTGTAGCGGCTTGTTTTACGACCATTGTAAAAATGGTCATAAAATGGAATCTGGTCATGTAGTGCCTCGACGTACGACCACAATGACTTAACGGCCAAAGTTCCTGGCTCCATTGTTTTAGAATAATATTCAGATTTACTTGGGATGGTCCAGTATCTGCTGTTGCTCTGACCAAACAGTTGGATGGTAGAATTAGGTCTGCTTGTGTTTTAAACAGTTCTAAAAAAAAAAAAGTTTTCCAAGAGATCACTATAAAAAATTAAGGACTGCTCTAATGGCCCATCATTATTCTTGGATATTATATGGAGGAAAAAGGAAAAAATGCCAGCCCGAGTCAGATTCTTCCTATCTTCATGCTAAACTCCTATAAATCTTTAACGTCCGCCTGCCAGTTTTGCACTAAATCTGCAGTGACACCGGTCTGTTAAAAGGAATTTAGCAGTCTCTCGCTTCCTTTGACCTGAAGAGAGAGTTCGGAAGTCTTCTCCTTTACCCCCTTCGAATTTTAGCCCCGAACACGAATTATACATCTCAGAATGCAGATTAAAACTAGGTTCGGCGGCTGCGGAATTCTGGGAGTTGAAGTCCACAGGTCTTAAAAGTTGCTGAGACGGAGGAACACTGCCACGGTCAATTAGGGAAGAGCTGGTGTGAGATTTTTTTTCCTTGGGCTTTTGGTGTTACCCAGGTTTTAAAGCATGCCTTTGTTTATGTAACCATCACCGCCTCAGGCGGACGGAGCTTCTCCAAGGTCATCTGGGCAGCTGTCTGCAGAAAAAGCCTTCGCCGATGCAGAGTCAAGTCTGCAAAATTGTTAAAAACTTCCCTAAGCTTGGTCCCAGCGTTTTCCCCATCCTTGGGCTTCTTTCCAGAGGTTTCTTGTTTCTGATATATGCTGTCAAGTGGAGGAACTTGGCAACTAAATTGGAAGAGGCTTATATTAGTGGCGGTGCCCTACTTTATGCCAATGTGAGCATAGCACTTGGCTGGATAGTGTGGTTCATTTTTTTCCCCTCAAAAAATAAAGGTTGGAGGAGAGGATGTGAAACTGATTTTGAAAGGTAAGAAGAGGGGTTTTTTTCAGGAGAAACTTTTCCAAATCAGGTACGTTCTTGTAATTAGCAATGCTGCATTTTCTCCTATAGTCCTCGGCTCCCGACTGATCGCTTAACCACTGTCTGAAGTGATGACTGGCCTGGAAAAGAGGACTTACGGGCTCAGATTCCAAGTTTTGACGATCTGGCCTTCTTCACAGTCACTTTACTGAGCTTCGGGTGCTCCTCAACACAACCCCATTTATGGCCAGTTTGCAGCATCTGGCAATCCCGTTACCATGTTTTGCAACAGTTTTGCCAAAAAAGTGACCCTTGCTTCTGATTTTTGGCAAAACCACCCCCAGATTGAGCCCTTGTTTCGCTTGCCGCATACCGTTGAGTTCTGAACCTGTTTCTTATGTGGGAACTGTCAAGGCCTAAAGAATCAGGACCGTACGTTACGTTCCAGTTAAGCTGATTTAATAATAATAATTAATTAAATAATAATAATAATAATAATAATAATAATAATAATAATAGTAATAATAATAGTAGTAGTAGTAGTAGTAGTAAAGTTGGAAGGGACCTTGGAGGTCATCTAGTCCAACCCCCTGCTCAGGCAGGAAACCCTATACCATTTTGGACAAATGGCTGTCCAGTCTCTTCTTAAAAACTTCCAGTGTTGGAGCATTCACCGCTTCTGGAGGCAGGTTGTTCCACTGGTTAATTGTTCTAACTGTCAGGAAGT